CGACCAAATTCGGAGGGCGGATTAGCCCTATTTACATTGAATCTTATGGGGAAATTTGCGTCGTGGTGCGACCAAATTCGGAGGGTGGAATGGATTAACCGTATTTACATTGAACCTTATGGGAAACTTTACCTCGACTTGAGACCAACTCAAGTTGCAACCAGAGTCATGGAATGGATTAAGTTCGTAACTAGAGGTACCACTGTAATGTTATGTCGAAGTCTGGCTTTCAGTTTCTGAAATGACCTTTCCCTGTAAAGAACTTCCTCTTTTATTACTTTATCTTCAGGGTGCTTTGAGATTTTTTAAAAAAAATCTTGGTAGAGTTTTTTGAATATTCTTTATTAATGAACATGGCAGAAGAGGGTACTGCTGGTATTAGTTTTCTGTTTTAAGATGTTCTGTTACTTTGAAGCTTCCCTTGTCCTCATTTTCTGATGCGAAAAACCTGAATGGAAGAATTTCCTATATGTTGCCTTCCCTTAGGGTTTAACTGAAGCATCGAAAGCCAAAGAGCCTTCAGACCATTAGAGAGATGATTGAACAACTCTCAGGCTATCTCATTGCTAAATAAGTTCATGAATGCCAAATTGTACACGTGAGGATTCCTTTGAAATTCTCCATCTTTGAAAGCAACTTCAAAGCAAGTTCTCTTTCACTGAATTGAAGGTGAATTGGCAAAAAATGTTATGGAGATGTTTTTCCCTTTGGCACCAAAAGGAATTCTGTAAACTGCTAGATCAATGAAAGGCACCCTAATGCCTCTAGATATTTCAGTCAAAACTCCCACCATTCCTAATTGTTGGCCTCATGAGATGATCAGAGTTACAATCCAAAACATCTGGAGGGCATCAGATTGTCCTAATTTTGGGTCACCACTGTGGGGAAATAGGCCATAATACAGTTTACAGAAGCAGGAATTCATATAAATCAGTTCAAGTATTCCATGATGAAATGGGACTTCTTAATTCTTGCTTTATTTTATTTCTGTTATTTTGGATTCCCGTTAATGCAACGTTAATTATTTTTGCAAGAGAAAATAAGGAGAAGAGAGCCAGCATTTTAGTTTGCTTGAGTCTGGCTCATGCTTTCAATTGTCCAGCAAGTTGCACCTCATGTCACCCAGGGTTCATCCTCATGTCCTGCCTACCCCAGCATAAAGTAAGCCCACTAATCCTCTCTTAAGGACAGGAATCATAACAGCATCCAGAACCCACCCCCTCTCCATTGTGAAAGCAAACTCCACCTCTCTTTTCTTGCTCTATGTCAAAAATAGTGTTTTCCCCTTCCCTTTGAGTTTCTGGTCATGCCCTCTCCAGCCATCGCATCCTGGGCTGCTATGCAGACTGCTCCCCCATACCTTCTGAAGGGTCCTTCTCACAATGGACACGTGAGATGCTGGAATCCTCTCCCTCCTTCCCTGTCTGGCTGTCTTTCATAAGTTCACCCCAGAATACTGAAACCTGGCTCCTAACCATGTGAAACTAACAAAAGAGTTTTGCCAGTTCCTCTCCAAGTGGCATGAAGAGCAATAAAACGTTGATGTTTTATTTTTTCTTTTCCCACTGGTGTCAGTAGATGTGCCAGATTGGAAAGTGCCAAGTACAAGATATAATCTATGGAAGGAATTCATACAAACTCTGGTCAATGGAAACTACTCAAAGATGTGTCCTCAAAGATCTCTTGAGAAAAAGGAAAGCAACTGCTATTTGCATTCCTGGCATGGGTAGGAAGGATAAAAAAGTAGGGGAATTCACCCTGTAGGAGGCACAGGGTACCCACAGTCCAGAGAGAATACCTGGCCAGCATCATTGCCAAAGTTGAACAACACCTTGTAATTCCAACAGTGATTTCTGAAGCTGGATTCATTTGTGGGTGGTTTTAGCATTTAGAGCTTAAGACTGCTTTGTGGAAGGATTGCTAATCTTTGCTTGTTCAAAAAACATTGCAGCTCTGAACACTTAGGAGAACAGCCCATCAGATAGGAAATCCAAAGTGAAAAATAGTGAGTGGCAGTTATTTTGATTCCCTACTGGAAACACTCTGAGCAGTGCCACAGTGGGGTTGGGAGTGGGGGGAGGAGGATGTCATCTGTACCTGAACTCAAGAAGTGGTGAGTGGTCTATATTCGTGATGGGGTTGAGCAGAAAGTATGAATCAGTCTCTGGGTGCCAGCAGAGGTCTTGAATACATGATGGCAGACAATATTCTAGCAGACAGTGACCAGATTTCTAGCACAAGAGGAAATGCATGCAATCAGCAGACTTCAAACAGGACTAAGTGCAATCTATATAATCCAGTTTATTGATAAACCTGGGATGGTTCAAGATACAGTGGTGTCTTTGCTTTCTCTTGGAGGAGAAACAGGGGTTTTCCTATCCCAAACGATGGGTAATTTCTTTAGTTAGTAATGTCAGAGATAAATGGCTAGGTGCCAACATTTCAGGTCATTTGGGTAGATCTGTAATCACAGTGCAAATGAATGTGAGGATGTTTTAAGAAGGACTAGCTTCTTGTTTTTTGTTAGGTCCATTTTCCCTTTCCTTAACATTTGAAAACTGTAATTTTTAATCTGTTATACAAACAGGAATTGGCAACACAAATCACCAGCTTCATCTAGTTCTTTGATCTCTGAGAGTGTGTCCATATGTGTATCTGCTCCCCAAATTCCCATAGATCATTCTACTGAAATTTGGCATTAAACTATCAAATTACTGTAGTGTGTTTTTCCCACTTTTGGGGGTGGGTGGGTAAAAATGAGTAGTAAAATTAGATGGGTTAAGCTCCCAACAGGCTTCACACACAATATTTACTTTAAAAAAAAGTTGCCCATAATGAAAACAAAACACTTAACATTTCATCCTACCACCTCTTCTGATGTTACTGCTATACTGCTGGGAGTCAGGCAGCATATAAATTTAATAAATTATTATTATACCTCCCTAGAGCCTTTGGTGGCCAGAAACAAAAAATGTGCTCCAGAATTGGTTATGTCTTCTATTTCTTGTGAGAGTAACTTCTCATACTGATAAGAATGACAGTTATCAGACAGGGAACAGATGCCTCACAAAAGAGGCCAGTTTCCAGCTCTTTCAAAAGAAGAAGTGGGAGGAAGTGTGGAAGAGTTTTGATACCCTAAATTGCATATGTGTGTGTGTGTCTCATTTGTAAACAGAATACTAATTGGAATTCTTGTATTGTAACCTTAAGCCTCCTTTTAATAAATATTGCTAACAAGTGTTCTTAGATTCTTGGATCTAACTACAGGTAGCCCTCGACTTAGGACCACAATTGGACTGGAACTTCCATCGCTAAGTGATGCGGTCATTAAGTGAGTCACGCCCGATTTTACGCCTGGTGTTGCTGCAATTGTTAAGCGAATCTGGCTTCTCCCATTGATTTTGCTTGTCAGAAGCCCCCTGGGAAGGTCTCAAATGGTACTCACATGACCCCAGGATGCTGCAACCATCGTAAATACATGCTGGTTGCCAAGCACCCGAATTTTGATCACATGACTGTGGGGATGCCATGACAGTCGTAGGTGTGAGGACCAGTCATAGGTCCCTTTTTTCAGCATCATAACTTCAAATGGTTGTTAAACAAACGGTCATAAGTCAAGGACTACCTGTATTAGAGTCTTTGGATCAACTATTGGAGTCTTTGGATCAACTATGTTCCAGCCTAGAGTACAAAGCGGGAAGACTGATCCCAGTTTTTTTACTAAGTAATCAGCTTATTACTTCTATTAAGCCATATAGCAGAAGTTACCATTCTCTTTCTGGTTTTTACAGATGCATTGTGAGAGGTTTATATGCATCTTAAGAATACTTGGAACTACACTATTTGGAGTATCTCTTCTGCTTGGAATCTCAGCTGCTTATATTGTTGGCTACCAGTTTATCCAAACAGACAACTATTATTTCTCCTTCGGGCTCTATGGTGCTATTTTAGCATCCCACCTTATCATCCAAAGCTTATTTGCCTTTCTAGAGCACCGTAAAATGCGCCGATCCCTTGAGACCCCCATCAAGCTGAACAAAACTGTTGCCCTTTGCATTGCTGCCTATCAAGAAGACCCTGACTACTTAAAGAAATGTTTACTTTCGGTGAAGAGGCTCACCTACCCTGGAATTAAGGTGATTATGGTAATCGATGGGAATTCTGAAGATGATGTTTACATGATGGACATTTTTAGCGAAATCATGGGCAGGGATAAATCTGCTACTTATATCTGGAGGAATAACTTTCATCAGAGAGGCCCCGACGAGACTGAAGAGTCCCATAAGGAAAGCATGCAACACGTCACTCAATTGGTCCTGTCCAACAAAAGTGTCTGCATCATGCAAAAATGGGGTGGAAAAAGAGAAGTAATGTACACAGCATTCAAAGCGCTGGGGAGAAGCGTGGATTATGTGCAGGTAGGTCTAAAAAATTCTCCTTCACTGCCAAACAAAACAGGCTTCCAAAGAAAGCCAGTCTTGTATATGTGGAGCTGCTTGCAGCCCAACCCGTCCTGCCCTTTGTGCAAACAGAGCGCCTCTTTCTCTCTCCATTGGAAAACAGCAGAGCTGTTGAAAAGGCTGGACTTCTGAAAGAGTTAAGGTGATCAGATGGTACATAATGACAGCAGGGAGAGCTCAGATGGGGAGGGCCAAAGCCCGCCATGAAGCTCTGGGATGATCATTACCTAATGCATTGAACTAGAGTCCATGTTCACTGAGGAGAGACTCTGGGGCATCTGATTCCACATTGCCCCAGTGGCTCTCCTGAATGACTTTGTCAGGGTAGCAGAAAAGGTCAAAGCCCTGCCAGGTTTAGTTGGCTCACAAGCTGTATTAGTACCTGTTCCAGTCAGCGTGCAATGAACTGCAGTCAGGGAAGCATTTCTGCATGGAGTCACATGGATTTGACTGCCTTCCCATTTCTAAGTTGGCAAAGACATCAGCAGAGTCTATGCCATTGTGAACAGAGGAAAACTGTTTTTGGTCCAGTGGGTTTTTCACCTAAAGAACCTCTACCCTAACCATTTGTTTGTGTTGATCGCCATATTGCAAAGATGATTCATTGGTGGTTCTTAAAGCTTTAGATATTATCAAACATGGCTGCTTATCATTAACCTCTACTACAGCCAGTAGCTAAGTATTCTGTCAGTACAAAGAGCAAGGAGTGCTCTGTCCCTTTCCATTGGCCTCACTGGTTGAGTTCACACAACTCAAGTAAGCTATAACATGATTTGTTTGCTACTAACTTAATATGTTGTGCAAATTCAGCCAGAGTGGTTTGTAAATGATGCTTTATTGCTTAGTGTTGTGGGAACCCGACTCAATATGGTCTACTTACTAAACCAGGTGTGCATTTTTTTCTGCATTAAGGATTGCACTTGGTACATAAGTATCATTCGGGGGGGGGGGCATGTAGTGGAGGGGCCAGAGCAAAACTAAATTTGATTTCATTTCATTTGCACTGCACTGGCACTGAATTACAATTCAGCAGAGGCAGTATGATTGTTCTCTAGCTGTGTGTTTAATAATGTCCCTCTTCTCACTTTAAATATGGCAATTTGATAACAATGTTTGAGGTCTCTGAGGACTGCACCAACATTTATGGTGGCCCTATGTGGCCTCAAATTATACATTTCTTAATAACTGTGATTTTTGAGCTACTATAGAGATGCAGTATTCAGTTTAAGGGTGCCTTAGGCTGGGAGGTCAGTCTAAAGATGAAAAACTGTAAGAAGTAAGAACAGGACTTTATTATAGGTAGTATGTCTAACTACAGGTAGTATGTAGTCAACTTAGTGAAAAATATGGCTATCCAACAACCCGACTATCTCACCCTGACCACATTTATGAATTTGGACCCTCTTCTTTTAGAATGAAATCACCATCATTAAACATTACATGTAATACTATGAGTTGCTTTTTAAGAGAAACACCCCAAAATGCTGATATAGGAGATGGGGGGAGGTAAGAATCTATACCAAGCATCTTAGTATAATTATAATGTCAAGATTCCTGTTTGCTTTTGTAATTACTACTTTGACTAGAATTACCATTTCTTCTGTTTGCATAGAAGCAGCATACTTCTCAATATTTACGGCTGGGAACATAAGCAAAAAGAAGAGATTCTGCTTGTTTCTCGCTACTTGGCTTCCCAGAAAACATCTGGTTGGCCACCGCGGAAATAGAATTGTGAATAGATTGGACTTCAGGCTGAGTCAGCAAAGTTGTTCTTATATTTGATTTCCCTCACACCTTTGGCCTGCTATCACAAGAGGGAGCTCAGATGCCCCACCTAGCAACAGGGGATGATGGCCCAAAGGTGTGATCCAAGATAGGGCTCCCAGATTTGGAATGGCAGCACCCAGTCTATTGTTTCCTAATATTAATAATGGATTTCTCTCTCTTTAAAAGTTTTTTTCCTATTGTTTTGGTATTTAAAAAAAAAAAATCAAGCCCATTAAAAAAAAACAAATCCCAGCTGGGTGTTGAGGGCTTAGTTCATTCTGTGAGCATCTCAGAGGCCCTCCTATGTGAACATATGGTCTTGCAACTCAAAAGAGAATCTCAAAGGTTTGGCAGCGTCAAAAATGGAGAGGTTTGAGTCCTATAAAAGTTTGTTAAGAAGAAGCATAGAGGGAAAGAGGGCTGGGTCAGGAAGATGGGGGGGAAGTTTAGAAATACAAACAAGACAAGTCCTTCAGCCAAGTTTCTTGGCTTCAGCCTTTACAGCTGCATTACCTCACTCAAGGCAAAAGCTTTGTCTTTAAAGTCTTGGTGACACTGTTCACTTAAAAATGAATTAGGCCAGGCCAACTCCCCAATTCCAAAGTGCAAGCTTCAGGCAGGGATTATTCATCAGCTGGGCTATATCTGGCAGACATCCTCTCCCATGCATTAGCCCTGAAAAATGAAGAGGGGGTGGAATGCTTATCCACAGAACTATCTTTCACTCATGTAAGCTACTTGTATTAATCACATTTGTATTCCTGACTCCCTCTTATATGTCTAGAAGGTACAGACATGCAAGTAGGTTCTCTGTGTTATCTTCCCAGTGACCCATGAAGTAGGGTCTAGGCTGAGTGAAGGGCCAGCCCTACCGTTGAGCAAAATGAGTGGTCACTGCAAGCAGCAGGTGCTACGGGGCAGCAAAGGAGAGTATGGAGTACTCACCGAAGCTGCCCCAAAGCAGCCTGCTTCCTTGAGGCACAGTGAAGACTACGAACCCATTGTTAGTGTCCAGGAAAAATGGAGCTGCCCATCTAGCTGATCTTCTGCATGGGGTGGAAGGAGGCATCCTCAAGGAGCAAAATATGTGGAGCTTTCAGCTGGTCACACCCAACAGCCTGGCCATGGGACGCAAGGTTATTGGGTAGCCATGAGGACAGGTATTAGAAGACCAGATGAGGCTTGAAGCCAAACATCATGCAAATCTGAGTTATGGCCAAATTTGGCCATTAATAAATGCAGAAATGAAGTGGCAGAATTCTACAGGTCCTTCAAGCCACTGAGTCCAACCCTCAGCTTAATGCAATAACTCCATAATTTATAATTCAGATATAATTTTAATTTTTTCCCCCTACAAGTGATGTTTTCTCCCCATGAGTCATTAGGTTTCATCTAGCTTTAATGATTTGATCATGATGAATCACAGACACTGAGGCCCTGTTGGGAAAGGATATGCAGTTTGAATGGCTAGAGTATGTTTGCTCCGGCTTGAAAACATTATCTTCTCTCTTTTTTTGGAAACGTCTGAAACTTTGGGCACATTCATTTGTGTATTAAAGGTTTATCCAGTGTTCTTCCAAGGAAAGAAGGTTGATTTTAACAATACTGATTTTAATTTTGAGTTTAATCATACTGATTTGATTATCATGTCCAATATTTTGCATATTCTTTTAATTATCTTAAGCGGTCTTGAGTGCTTGTATAAGCAGAAAGACAGGATATGCATTTAATTATAGTCATACTAGAAGCACATGAGGTTCCTACCCATCTATATTTTCCCTCTTAACTAACCTGTGAAGGGGATTAGGCTAAGAAATTGTAGTGAGCTTCAGAGATGAGCAGGAATTAAATTGGGCCAGTTGTATAATATTGGCTCTGCAAAGCTTTTCAGTCAATGAAAACTAACAATAAGAAAGAAAGAAGCATTTCAGTAAACCGTTCAGTTACACAGAATCTCTGAGATAATAGATTATGGTATTAGTCTAGGACAGTGTTTCTCAGCCTTGGCAACTTTAAGATAGGTGGACTTCAATTCCCAGGATTCCCCAGGCTGGGGAATCCTGGGAGTTGAAGTCCCATATCTTAAAGTTGCCAAGGCTGAGAAACAATGGTCTAGGACCTGGGTTCACATGTGCGACTCAGCCATGTATGACTTTATGTATCCTAGATAACCCAACTCTGCTGGTTTCTCACTTTTGAGGCACGGGGGGAAAAGAGTTCCTGATTCTTTCAAAGCATTGAAGATTCTGCTTGCTCTGAAAACAAGGAATATTTTGTACCCTCTATTTTGCTTTGGTCTTTGAAATACTTCTTTCTCTGAAACTCCTCCTTCCCATAGTTTTGACCATCAGTGCAGTCTGTTGAGCGTGGTAGAAGCAGCCCTTAAACTAGATGATCTCTTGGGGATCATCTCACACACACACACACACACACACACACACATACACACACAAATATAAAAAGTTTTACAAAGCATGTAAAAATTAACACAAACTAAGAGTACAAACAGTAAAGAAGAAAAGAAAGAAAAAGTGTAGAAAAAAAAAAATAGAAAGAAGCAGCTTCCCATTTCCTGTGCAGCAGATAAGTATAATTACAAAATTACCTCTTATTCTATGATTACAAAAAAAGCTTACTTTTGCCTATTATCCATTTTTTCTCATCATCAAAACCACACATCATAAGTGCATTTTTTTTTGCTTCATGCAAAAAGAGGTTTCCCGTCAACTATAAATATAGATATTATTTTTTCTCTGATTCACCACCATCAGGTTCCATTACCTTCACCAACCAATCCTTCGTTGTAGGCAGTGTTGAACCTTTCCACTTTTGAACATATAATAGTCTCCCTGCAGTTGTCATATATAAAAACAAAGTTCCATGACTTTTGTCCAATTGCTTGCCCATTAGTCGCAAAAGAAAAGTCTCTGGTTTCAGTTGTACTTTAGCCTTTAAAATCTTCTGAATTAATAAACGTGTTTGTATCCAAATTTTTTTTGGCTTTTTTACATGTCCACCAAAGTTGATAAAATATCCCTTCATGTTGGTCATATTTCCAGCAAAGATCTCTCTCGGGGACCTTTCAACTCTATGGAAGGGATGGTGTATGGTTAAAGTGTGCAAAATACTCTTGAGTTTGGAACAGACACTTTGAGATGAAACTACTTCCAAAATGCTCAAGACAACCCATCTTGAACTTGAACCAGCTGAGCTCAGAATGGACTGATTTGAACTGAAAACTTTTTAAATTCAATTTTCTTTTGTGCATTTCTAGTGCAGGACATAGAAGAGATGGGAGTGACCTCAGTTTCACTGTACTCACATGTGGATAGGTCCTCCAGAAAGCTATGGATTAAAATCAAAATGGCAACTGTTCATAGAATGTGTTCACAAACATGCTTGTTTACCGAATTAACCCATTTTCTATGTTTACACAGTACTGTGAACTATAAACCAGCCCGAGAAGTTGGGGTGGCATAGCACTTTAAGACACACATACAAACACACCTCTAGCAAGGTTAAAAATAGCCAAACTTCACATAGCCACTAAATCTTTTTTTTTAAAACCAAGCTATGTAAAGTGTGTTGTATAAACACATGAATACTAGTTGTATTCACAACAACTATGCTCAAAAGAACGATCTATTTCATAGTTTAAGAATACTAAAAATATAACCTCCTCCAAATTCATTAGAAACGTAAGCATATAATCAGGAATAAAATAACACACAGAGCAATACTGGATCCTAAACGTAAGAGAGAAACAGACTTTTATTAATGTTTAGAACTGTGGAGCCCCGTGAATGGCGAGTTCAAAGAGATCTGGATGTTGCAATCAACTTCTGGAATCCAACATATATATTTCACATGAATAGCTAAACCTTCTGTGAGCAAAAAGGGCTATCACATTTCTTCCCAGATCCTCTGCCAATTTTCTGAAGCATCTGTAAGTTCACTCATCATTCATTTCCCCCTTAGGACAGTGGGAAACATTTGAACTGGGGCACCAAATGCAATCTTTTTTCTATCGAGCAGGATCAGGAAAAACACCCGCCAAGTTATGTTTCTTTACCCCTATGCCTTCTTCTATGTCTCATCTCAAGAACTTTCCTTGTTCCAATGATCTGATCCAGTATACTAATAATAATAAAAAAAGATCTAGAGTCAGCATTGTAATGAATTATGGCTTATTTAAGTGATATGCCCACTTGTCTGTAATATAAAGTCCATTGAGTGGATTTTTAGAGATCCAAATCAGGTGAGAGAAAACCAGCTGAATTCTCAGGGATGGGATAGTAGACTATGCTCTCCATATAATGCAAAACAACCTGCACAATTTTGTTTCCAAATTTACTGTAAATTTCACATGTGTTTTGCCAATCCTCTAAAGGCACTGTGGAACTTCAGCAATCTCGTTCTGCATCTCCGATTCATTGCTCAAGAATCCAAAGTGACAGTACTGGATTGTGTGTTATGGGATTTCTTCTGAAATCCAGTGGGAAAAAGTCATCCGAAGACAAGAATTATATTTAATCATGTAATTGCTTGTAATTCTACTTTTCAACAGCCCTACCCCTGGTATCTTAATTTTGTGTGGGTTTTTTATGAACAGGTATGTGATTCTGACACAATGCTCGATCCGGCTTCATCAGTGGAAATGGTAAAGGTTTTAGAAGAAGATCCAATGGTTGGAGGTGTTGGAGGAGATGTACAGGTGAATATAGTAATTTCTCTGTCTTTTAGTAGAGTGTTTTTGTTCTGGTTTTTGTTGTTGTTGTTTTGTTTTGGTGCCTTCGAGTCGGTGTTGACTCCTGGAGACTGCCTGGACTAGTCCCTGCAGTTTTCTTGGCAAGACTTCAGAAGTGGTTTGCCCTGGCCTCCTCCTTAGAGCTGAGAGAAAGGGACTGGCCTAAAGGTCACCCAGCTGGCTTTGTGCCTCAGGCTGGACTACAACTCATGGTCTCTCGGTTTCTGGCCTGATGCCTTAGCCACTACACCAAACTGGCTGTCTTTCTAGTAGTAGGTCTCCCTGAAGTTGAGTTTCTGGTGACTGTAAAGAAAGTTGGTAGTTTTCTTGGCATGAAGCAGAAGTGGTTTGCCATTGTCTTTTTGCTGGGGTACCTTCTGCACTTCCCACTCTAGTCTCCTGTTTTGCAATTTCCTAATAGTCTCCCAATCAGATCCTAATCAGAGCCATCCCTGTTTGCCTTTACCAGGATCAGCTAGGGTCAGCTAAATGTAGCCACCTGCTGTAGCCTCACTGTTAGACTTCCCATGAATGATTGTTTCCTTATTGCTGCAATATATTCAAGAGTAGGCTTTTTTTTTTCAGCCACAGCCTGTATTTTATTTGATTTACATATTGAAAAATAATTAAGTGAGAAAGTAGCAATACTAGAGAGGGCAGATCTATACTTGGTATCTGTAAGGTGTGGTTAAAAAAGTTGGTGGCCACGATGGTGGGACAAAACTCTGCACGTAAAAATGGAAGCAGCTGCAAGCACACCATCATGACCGCCATCTTGACTTGGTGACCGTACTCTGTGGATGCTCCTGTTTCTGTCCCTCTCTCTCCCACACACCCACATTTTGGTACAGCCAGTAGAGAACTGAAGGGAAATAGGTGTAATTTCCTTCAGCCACCTATTTTTAATATTTTTGATTAACAAACAAAATTGCTCCATCGCATTTTTGTGTTTGTCTGCTAGCCTGAAAAATACATGAGCTTTGCTCCAGAACCTATTTTGTATAATCTACTTGTTAAAGGATGCATGATTTACTAAATGAAGGTCATGCACATATGAAGAACTTTCTAAATCATTGGCCTGTCTGCTATGTCTCCCCTGCCCCCTATGGGAAGGGCTGGCCCCAGGCACCCGTCCCTGCCTTTCATGCTCGGGAGCGAGATCCGCAGATAGGCAAATTCAGCCCCCTGTTGATTCTGGCTCTGCTCACGGTTATCTCTGATGGCAGCCTGACTTTCCTTTCATGGAAAAATGATAAATGATCGTGTTAGGGAGCTGGACTAGGGGTGGTTGAAGTCCACCTTCGGCCATGGAAGCTGACCGGGTGACTTTGGGCCAGTCATGCTCTCTCAGTCCAACCTATCTCACAGGGTGGCTGTTGTGGAGGAAAATGGGAGTGCTGTGTACATCACCTTGAAGCCCTGGAGAAAAGGGCGAGATATAAATCTATCGAATGCATATTAAATAGTAGTGCAGTGGATTTGAACTCTCTTAATCAGAATAACGAGAAAATGTTGGAAAGCTAAGAAATCTATCCAAACTAAAATATGTGGGTCTTTGGAACTCTTGGCGTAATTTACTAACAGGGATGCCTAGAATGGCAACAAAAGCTATAACAAGTCTTGGGGCCTCCTCAGGTCGTGAAAAATGTATTATAAGGTTGTATTCTTAGGCGTACGGGAGCCCAGTGAATGAAAACATGGAATGAGGAACCTTCCGTATTACAATATTGAAAATAACACTGGCAGTTTTATGTCATGGTCTTTATCTCAGGAACTAACTTTAAAACTTCTTTTGTAGATTTTGAACAAGTACGATTCATGGATCTCCTTTCTCAGCAGCGTCAGATACTGGATGGCATTTAATATTGAACGAGCTTGCCAGTCCTACTTCGGCTGCGTACAATGTATCAGTGGACCATTGGGGATGTACAGGAACTCCTTACTCCACGAATTTGTGGAAGACTGGTATAATCAAGAATTCATGGGATCTCAATGTAGCTTTGGGGATGATCGACATCTCACCAACAGAGTCCTGAGTCTGGGCTATGCAACAAAATATACAGCTCGTTCAAAGTGCCTTACGGAAACGCCCATTGAATATCTCAGGTGGCTGAACCAGCAGACCCGTTGGAGTAAGTCCTATTTCCGTGAGTGGCTGTACAATGCAATGTGGTTTCACAAGCATCACTTGTGGATGACCTACGAGGCGGTCATCACAGGGTTCTTTCCATTTTTTCTCATTGCCACTGTCATACAACTTTTCTACCGGGGAAAACTGTGGAACATCCTCCTCTTCTTGTTGACTGTTCAGCTTGTAGGCCTCATCAAGTCTTCCTTTGCTAGCTGCCTTAGAGGGAACATCGTCATGGTGTTTATGTCCCTTTACTCAGTGTTGTACATGTCAAGTTTACTTCCAGCCAAGATGTTTGCAATAGCCACCATAAACAAGGCAGGATGGGGCACATCCGGCAGAAAAACTATTGTGGTCAATTTCATAGGACTGATCCCCGTGTCCATTTGGTTTACAATCCTTCTAGGTGGGGTTATTTTCACAATATACAAGGAATCTAGAAAGCCATTTTCCGAATCAAAACAGACAGTGCTGATTATTGGCACGATACTTTATGCCTGCTACTGGGTGATGCTTTTGACTTTATATTTAGCTCTTATCACTAAATGTGGCCGGCGGAAGAAGGAGCAACAGTATGACATGGTGCTTGACGTGTGATTTCACCAGCATGGATATTTTGGTTGTGGTTGTTTTATTTTTGCTTCCCTTAGCAAGGTTTTTCAAGGGACAGGACAATAAACCTTTTCAGAGTTGGCGGCACTGAATTTGACATCGCCAAGGGAAATGGATCACTGCTGCTTGGACTTGAACATTAACAAAGCATGCCAAAGCAAAAGAAAAAAAAATAAAATGAAAATGTGATTGTGCCTTTTTTGGGGGGGGGAGGGGGAGGAGGATAAAAACCATGGATTCAACCCATTCCTGTGGGTGGTCTCTGAAAATGCACTTTCTTCTATCATGAGTATGTCCGAAAGTGTTAATGTCCGATATACCTCATTAGTCATCCTGATATGGACAGACATGGAAGAAAGAGTTTTAGAGACACAAGCAAAGGATTTTTGCAAATTATGGTTGCAAATTATGCAGCCATAATTTATGAACTTCTTTGCATTGTTCTGTGATTATTATTTTTTTAAATGATGTGACACGTGCGTGCGTGTGTGGGTATGTGTGTGTGTGTGTGTGTGTAAATGTTAAACTGCCAAATGCAATTCCAAAGTCAATTTTATAAGGGTTGATGACCCAGTTGTATTTTTATATAATTGTAATTATTTGTCTTTGTTTACTTTTTACACCATTTTTTTTTAAAAAAAAAAACTCGTATTTTATATTACTGCCAAAAAATACCCTCTTTTCTCCTCAACATACTTACAGCCCGTTTTCTAAATAGGTGTTGAAGAATTGTTACTTAAAAAAAAAGTTAAAAAATGAGAAAACCCTTGCCCACAATGTGAAAATGGATGCTGGTTTTTGGTTTTTTTTTAAAACAAGGGAAAGAATAAACCTTAATTTCTATATTTGTCAACCGATGAATGGCTATTTCTGTTACAATATATAACTCATGCGACTTGCTTTAAGTTTATTTGGAAAGAGCAACATGGTGTTCAGCGTATGGGGACAGAAAGAAGGAGAGGGTAACTGCTGCGAAAGGTCTTCTACACCAGGCCATCGAGCATTGCTTTGTCCATAATAATCCCATTCCTCGCTGTCTGTTCAGTGGCATCCAGAGGGTGGGTCAAACCAGTCCATCTGATGAAAACAGCATCACGCTGCTGCAATGCAAGCCCCGCCCCTTTTGTAGATGCATCATGACATCACCTGCATGTCCAAAAGGGGCGCGGCTTGCATTGCAATGCTCCTTTCATCACTTTGGTAAAAGCAGCCAGAACTGCAGATCTCCGTCTATGGTCCCCAGTTCCCTCCCAATAATCCTACCGAGCCCGCTGAGCGCTCACCCTACGATCTCTTGGGAATTCTCTTCTCTGAGCGGTTATGCATGACTCCTTGCGTTCAGCGTGGGTTGTACTGAAGGACTTTCTGCCACATTAAGGCCAAAGGGATAGATATGTGCAATTGTTTTCCCCTCCCAGAAATGTTAAAAAAGAGAACATATCTTCTGGCAGATGGTGCACATGTAATAAATTAAAATACACTTTGATAGTATTTTTTTTGCTCCAGAATCTGGTATCTCATGCAATGTTTCTCTTTTTAAATGAGCTGTCATACAGTACTTACCATTTTTTAAATTAGTTCCCATTATTTAAACAGTATCGCTGGAGAACTGGCTGGGTGCTATGCAGCCAGCTATACCACAAACTGACCAGTCGCATTTTAATCTTGAGAGTTGTGCAAAATCAACTTGGGTGGTTAGTTTATGGTTCAGTATGCTGTATGAATCCAGAAAAATGGGATAATTGGATAGAAGATAGTTCAGTTAACCATGGTGTGTATGTATGTATATGTATATATACATGTATATATGTATATATATGTGTGCATGTGTGTGTGTGTGTGGCATACAAGGACAGCCTGAATCTCTTGGTTTTCACTACAGAAATTCTGAACTTGGTTAAAATTCTGAATCCAGTTTTTGCTCTGCAGCTGAGATAGGTCTCTGGAGCAAAACCTCACCTGAAAGATATTTAGGAGAATGAAATGGGAGAATTCTGAAATGGTATCAGATGTTTGAACTGTATTATTTCAGAGTATAGACAAGGGATGAAATGCTTGAATTCTCCCATATATAAAATTGTACCTTACAAGGGCCAGGTTCCAACGTTGTTTTGTTGTGGAAGAGTATTATGTGCTTCCTAAGAATAGCAATAATTTAAATTATCATTATTATGGGTTGCATAGTAATAGTTTTTAAAAAATCAGAAAAAAAAATATGGTAGGTAGTATTTAAAAATTTTGTTCCTCCCTTGAAATGGCAAAATCCAAAATTCTAATATTCACCACCTCATATTTTAAATGGCTGTATTGTTCGATTCATGCCTTTTAGTCTGTCTGAATTAGAAGGCCCCTACATGGTGGTGGTGGTGAGGAAAATATATATATCAAACTCCTTTGGGGTTGGATACAAATGTAGTCTTTAAACAGACCAACTCTATCAGTGAGATTTAATTAAACACTAATTTCAGCACACCTGCTCTAAGTAGGGCCTGGGTGCATCCTTTTAGTATTCAGATCTTGCTCAATAGACTGAACTCCCCAGTCAGTTCAGTAGAGAGAATAGACTGGTTTTTAATTGACGTGAATAAACCCCATAGAGTCTCTGTCTCAGCCAAAGATTGACAGACTAATATAACAGAAACACCTGTGATCTTGGAGCAAGCTAATTTACAAATCTGGCTGTGAACAAATGGCATAATCAGAGATACTTTTTTTAAGGGACCGACCATCGTTTCAAACATGTAGCAGGTTGGTAGGCCTGATCCAGTATTCTAGCTCCCTGTCCAAGAAATGTTTAAGAGGTGCAGAAATATTAAAACCAAAAGATTCACAAACCACAGCAACTTTATGCTTAATGAAGGTGACAGACTTTTTTTTTTTTAGTAACCCATGAACAGGGAATCCAACTAAAAGGAATCTGAACATCGTTTTTCAATCTGAACAACCCCAGTCTGGAAACGAGGGAGTCTTAAAGCAATTCCTTAGCTTCCTAAGCTTTTAATCCTATAAGCTGGTTCTAAAGTTAGGTTAGTCACGTATTTAACCCAACGTCCTGTTCTCATCTCATCTCCTGGATTCATCCAGGATTCTCGGCCAGCATGACCATTGGCTGTGATGCCTGGCTGGAAATGGAAATGTTATCAATCACAAAATGACAGTTTGTGGAAGATGACTTTAGTCCTAGTGAAATCAGCTGAGCTAAAGTTAAAGAAGACGAATGCCCCATTGATTTCAATTGACTGAAGTGTGTTTAATGATAGAATCCCAAAGGTGTTTACTGTAAGATCCACAGAACTGAATGTGGTTTACTCTACGGTAGATGCACACACTAGATCCAACTCTGAAATAGATAAACATTGGACATGGGCTGTAGCAATTCCATCTATTCCTGGTCCATATACACCTTTGTAAACCAGTGTTTTACTTATCCCTGCAAGTATCATTCTGCTTTAGAAAAATAAAAATCTGGGGCCTAATACCTGTGTGGACAAAATCATTTACTGAACTAATATCAGTACCACGCTGGTCTGCACTTCTGGTTTCTTATCTGGACTGTGGTAAATAAATTGATTACAGACATCTTTTCACCTTTTAATTCCAGTGTTTCTCAAGCTTGGCCACTTTAAGATGTCTGGACTTCAAC